GCCTGCGATATTCTGTTTGTAGAGATCCAGATCTTCTTACATCTCAGGCTGATTTCGTGGGTGCTCAGAGTAGTCTGGTAGATATCCAGCTCAATTCCGGGGACCACTTGAAGTAGGGTCCCCTACTCCTCCGCCATCTTTTCTTCCCCATTGTGAATGATTTTTTAAATGTATTCTTGGATTCTCTTTGCTAGTATTTTGTGAAGGATTTTTATATCTATGTTCATCAGAGATACTGACCTGTAGTTCCCTTTTGCGATGGTGTCTTTATCTGGTTTTGGTATCAGGGTGATACTGGCCTCATAGAATGAATTTGAGAAGAATAGGTTAAGTATTTTTTTAAATAGATTTTATTTATTTGACAGAGAGAGAGAGCACAAGCAGGGGGAGCAGCAGGCAGAAGGAGAGGAAGAAACAGGCTCCCCGCTGAGTATGGAGCCCAACGCGGGTCTCAATCCCAGGACCCTGGGATCATGACCCAAGCCAAAGACAGATGCTTAACCAGCTGAGCCACCCAGCTGCCCCAAGGTTAACTATTCTTCAGATCTTTGGTAGAGGGGCACCTTGGAGGCTGAGTTGGTTAAGTGTCTGCCTTTGGCTCAGCTCTTGATCTCGGGATCCTGGGATCAAACCCTGCCTCGGGCTCTCTGCTCAGTGGGGAGTCTGCTTTCCTTCTCCCTCTGTGCTCTCTCTCTCTCAAATAATCTTTAAAAAAAATCTCTGGTGGAATTCAACAGTGAAGCTGTCTGGTCCTGGACTTTTGTTTGTTGAAGTTTTTTGGTTACTGATTCAATCTCCTTACTGCTAACTGGTTTCTTCAAATTTTCTATTTCTTCCTGCTTCAGTTTTGGTAGGTTATATGTTCCTAGGAATTTATCCATTTCTTCTAGGTTGTCTAATTTGTTGGCATATAGTTTTTCACAATACTCTTTTTAACAACTGTATTTCTGTGATGTTGGTTGTTATTTCTCCTCTTTCATTTCTAATTTTGAGTTTGTTTTGTTTTGCTTTTTGATGAGTCTGACTAGGGGTTTGTCAGTTTTCTTGATGTTTTCAAAGAACCAGCTCGTTTTTTTGGTTTCTATATCATTTATTTCTGCTCTAACCTTTATTATTTCCTTCCCTTTGCTGGTTTTGGGTGGTGTTTTGTTCTTTTTCTAGCTCTGGTAACGTTAGGTTGAGATTTTTCTTGCTTCTTCAGGTAGGGCTGTATTGCATATACTTTCCTCTTAGAACAGCTTTTGCTGCATGCCCAAAGGTTTTGGACCATTATGTTTTCATTTGTTTCCATATACTTTTTGATTTATTCTTTGATTTCTCAGTTGACCCATTCATTGTTTAGTAGCATGTTATTTACCCTCATGTATCTGTGGTCTTTCCAGATTTTTTCTTATGGTTGATTTCTAGTTTCATAGTGTTATGGTCGGAAAAGATGCATGGGATGACTTCAATCTTTTTGAATTTGTTGAGGCTTGTTTTGTGGCCTAATATCTGATCTGTTCTGGAGGATGTTCCATGTGCACTTGAAAAGAATGTATATTCCGCTGTTTTAGAATGGAATGTTCTGAATATATGTTAAATCCATCTGTTCCCATGTGCCAATCAAAGCCACTGTTTCCTTGTTGCTTTTGTTTGGGTGATCTGTCCATTGATGTAAGTGGGGTGTTAAAGTGCCCTACTGTTTGTTCTTAACTCTTTTATATATTTGGGTGCTGCCATGTTGGGTACATAACCATTTACAATTGTTGTATCTTCTTGTTGGATTGCCTCCTTTACTATTATATAGTATCCTTCTTTGTCTCTTTTTACAGACTTTTATAGTCTATTTTGTCTGATGTAAGTACTGCTACCCACCCTTCTTTTGACATCCATTTGCATGATCTCCTTCCCCTCAAGACTTTCAATCTTCATGTGTCTTTAGGTCTGAAATGAGTCTCTGGTAGGCAGCTTACAGATTTTTTTTTTTTTTAAATCTGTCACACTATGTCTTTTGAGTGGAGCATTTAGTACATTTACATTGAAAGTAATTATTGATAGATCTGTATTGCCAGTTTGTTACCTGTTTTGTGGTTGTATTTGTAGCTTTTTTTCCTGATTCTTCTCTTTCTTTCATGGTTTGTTGGTTTTCTTTAGTGATATGCTTAGATTCTTCATGTTTTGCTTATCTATTACTGTTGATTTATGTTTACCATTTGATTTATATATAACATCTTCTGCATACAGCAGTCTATTTTATGCTGATGGTCATTCTTTACTCCTTCCCTCCCCTCCATGTTTTAGGTATATGCTGTCCTAGTTTACATCCTTTTATTTTACTAATCCCTTGACTGACATTTACAGAAATACTTTTACTGCTTTTGTGCGTTTTTTACTTTTCACACCCTAACTTTTCTTCTACAGCTGGCTTAGTGGTCACATACTACTGTAGTTTTCGTCTGGGAAACTCTTTCTCTCTCCTATTCTGAATGATGGCTTTGCTGGATATAAAGTATTTTTGGCTGCAGAAGTTTCCCTTTCAGCACTTTGAATATATCATGCCACTCCCTTCTGGCCTGCAAAAATCTAATACCCTTATGGGCTTTCCCTGTGTATGTAGGTCTTCTTTTCTTTTGCAACCTTAAAATTCTTTTTTTTTTTTTAAGATTTTATTTACCTATTCATGAGAGACAGAGAGAGAGAGAGGCAGAGGGAGAAGCAGGCTCCCAAGGAGCAGGAAGCCCGATGTGGGACTCGATCCCAGGACCCCGGGACCACGACCCGAGCCGAAGGCAGACGCTCAACCACCTGAGCCACCCAGGCGCCCACAACCTTAAAATTCTTTACCCAGTATTTCTTGACATTTTAATTACAGTGTGTCCTGCTGTGGACCTCCTTGGGTTGATTTTGTTGAGGGATCTCTGTACCTCCTGAATCTGAATTTCTTTTTCCCTCCCCAGATTTAGGAAATTTTCAGCTGTAATTTCTTCTCTTCCCCCCTTTATCTTCTTCTGGGATCCCAGTAGATGCAAATGTTACTGTGCTTGATGGAGTCACTGAGGTCTCTAAGTCTATTCTCTATGCAGTATTTGTCTCTCATCTGCTTAGGTTGACTGCTTTACATTACTCTATCCTCCAGGTCACTAATACATTCCTCTCCTTCCTGTAGCCTACTATTTATTCTATCCATTGTAGTTTAGTTTCATTTATTGAGTTCTCAAGGGTCTCACTGATGTCCTTCATTCTTAAGTCCAGTGAGTATCTTTATGATCATTACTTTAAATTCTCTAACTACTTCTGTTTTGTTTAGGTCTCCTGCTGTGTTTTTGTCATGGTCTTTCATTTGGGACATACTCCCCCTGCTGCCTCATTTTGTCTAACTCTGTTTCTGTGTGTTAGGAAACTCACTATATCTCCTCTTGAAAGCAGTGCCCCTGCAGTGTTCCCTGTTCACCAGGACCTGGTGCTTTAGAGGGGTCTCCTATGTGTGTTGCCTGTATCTTGCTGTTGTGTTGGGAGTAGCTTTTCCTTTCAGTCCAGACTCTGCACTGACTCTATTGCTATCTGTGGTGTGAGAGAGACCCAGGTAGGCTGGCTCTGAAGGGGAGTGACCATGGGAGAGCTCAGGGGTAGGGTGGGGGTGTTAACAAAATTTGCATTGGGGAATCTGGCCTAGGACTAGTGACTCAAAGTGTGGTAATTGCCAGGGGCATGGTGTACATTAGCAGCAGTGGCCTGGGGTAACTCAAGCAGCTGAGGTGGCCATCAGTGGACACATGGCAGCTGGGAGCCTATGGTGGCTGGGTATGGCATGCACAATGTCAGCAAAATTTGCACTGGGCCACTAGTCCTAGGCCGATCCCCCAAAGCAAGGTGGCAGCCAGGGATAAAGTGCACAGGAGCAGCAGCGGCTTCAGGTGTGCAGCAACTGACCAGGGCATGCATGAGCTGCTAGTCCTAATCCAGATCCCCCAAAGAAATGCAGCGGCCACAGAGGCACAGCGCATTAACAGAATTTTTGCTAAGCCCAGGCCTGAGGCCAGCTGGCTTGGCGTGGGCAAATCCTCAGGAGAATACAGGGGTGTGGTACACTGCTAGCAGGTTAGGTAGCAAGTGTCTGTGTAGCCCCGTGTCCCACAGGTGGCCCTCTGTGCTGGGGGGTGGGGAGGAAAATGGCACCTGTTAGCTCCTTTGTTCCCAGAGAAGTCCCCCAGCATGCTCCGAAATCAGTATAAACAGATCTCCCTCCCGTTGTGCAAGCTGTCGCTTCTATGTTGCCTCTCCTTGGGCTGCTGTCACTTTAGGGGCAGGCTCTGGCTATCACTTGCCTAGCACTGGCGTGGCTGACTTTTAAAGCTCCAAATCCCACTGGTTATACAAACTCATGGAATTCAGCCCCTCTGGTTTTCAGGGCCAGACATTACAGGGATTTGCTTGCTCTGTGTGGGCTCTATGATGCTTTCTCCTTTCCATGAACACAGTTCCATCCTTCCGGCAGCTTCCAACCACTGTTTCTGCCCTTCATAACCTCTCAAATGTGAGTCATGGAGTTTGTTTTGCGAGTCTTCAGATCACTCTCCAGTTTACAGACTTGGATATGAGTGATATCTAGTTGTAAACATGGGACTGGGTGAGCTTAGGGTCCTCTTATTCTACCATCTTGCACTGCCTCCCCCATGAGTCACCTAGTTTCTCAGTGGAAGCATATATTTGTGGATAATGTTTGCGTTAGCTTGGGCTTGCAGAAAACTGTATTGGGGGGAAAATGTGTAACTCTAATGGCAGCAGTTTATAGGCTCAGGCTGCCTATGATGCTTTCTTGCTGGGCTGGTAGTTGGAGCTGGCTCATCATGAGTGTCTTCTGTGTTGCAATAAGATACGCATTAATGTGTCAGCGAGGGATGGAAGGTAGGTATATAAAGGACGTCTTGGTTGCGGGAACAGCTGAGGAATGACTGTTGGGCAAGTGGAACCAACCATTCACAAGGTACCTGTGGTGATTCTGACCATCATTTTCTCTCCAGCAGAACCAGGGACAGAATTCCGGCCATGGGGCCATTCCTGCCCGGTGACCTTTTCCAGTACTCAGTTCCTCAAACAGTATGTGCTGTGTGGTCACCTTCCTCAGATCTTCCCAAGCTCATACGCAGGAAGCCCCATCCCAGTGGAAGCTCCAAACTGCTCAAGTGAACAAGCGGATGATGGAGACATGGAGGGGAGACTCCGGCTGAGTGGGGTTTCCAGGGTGCTCTTCAGACCCTCTCAGGACTGGCCAGTAGACTGGGTAGAAGGCAACAGAGCTGGGCATCCTGAGGAGGCAGGCCTTGCAGCATCTGAGGCAACCATGTGTGGAAAATACAGACTGGGACTTGGTACCAAATCTAGCTTCTTGAGCCTCCAGAAGCATCATGTATGCCCTGAATGTGGCAGAAGCTTCTGTCAGAAGTCAGACCTCACCAAGCACCAGAGGACACACTCAGGGGAGAAGCCTTACAGCTGTAGGGAGTGTGGGCGAGGCTTTGGCCGCAAGTCCTCCCTCACCATCCACCAGAGGAAACACTCAGGGGAGAAGCCTTATGTGTGCCGGGAGTGTGGGCGCCACTTTAGGTACACTTCCTCACTTACCAACCACAAGAGGATACACTCTGGGGAGAGGCCCTTTGAATGTCAGGACTGTGGGAGAGGTTTTCGCCAAAAGATTGCCCTCATCCTGCATCAGAGGACACACTTGGAGGAGAAGCCCTTTGTGTGTCCTGAATGTGGGAGAGGCTTCTGCCAGAAGGCATCACTCCTCCAACATCGCAGCTCACATTCGGGCGAAAGGCCCTTCTTGTGCCTTGAGTGTGGGCGTGGCTTCAGGCAGCAGGCACTACTCCTCAGTCATCAAGTCACACACTCAGGGGAGAAGCCTTATGTCTGTGCTGAGTGTGGGCATGGCTTTCGCCAGAAGGTCACCCTTGTCAGACACCAGAGGACGCACACAGGAGAAAAACCTTACCTGTGCCCAGAGTGTGGGCGTGGCTTTAGCCAGAAGGTCTCCCTCATGGGACACCAGAGGACACACACAGGGGAGAAGCCCTACCTGTGCCCGGAGTGTGGGCGTGGCTTTGGTCAAAAGGTCACCCTCATCAGACACCAGAGGACGCACACAGGGGAGAAGCCTTATCTGTGCCCGGAGTGTGGACGCACCTTTGGCTTCAAGTCACTCCTCACCAGACACCAGAGGACACACTTAGAGGAGGCGGCTGATGTGTATGGAGTATGTGAGCAAGGACTTGGTCAGAAGTCTCACTTCACCTCTGACCAGAGGGCACACTCAGTGGGGAAGCCATGTGTGTGCAGGGAATGTGGGCGAGGCTTCGGCTTCAGGTCAGCCCTTATCAGACACCAGCGCACCCACTCAGGAGAGAAGCCATATGTGTGCAGGGAATGCGGTCGAGCCTTTAGCCAGAAGTCTCACCTTCACAGACACAGGAGGACCAAATCTGGCCATTGCCTCCCACCTCAAGAGCTGCTCTCCTGACCTTTCCTTTCCTCTTGAGTGTGAAGATGGCAGAAAGCACTAGGAGATGTTCCACTTTCCTCAGATGCAGTGGAGGAAAAAATGTGTTCTTTCAGTGATTGGAAGATAGTTGATTTATGGTTTACTTTATGTGCTAGCAATGTGTTTTAATTTGCTAGGGCTGCCATAAAGAAACACCACAAATTTGATGGCCAAAGAACAATTCAAACTTGATGGCCAAAGAACAATTTTCTCACAGTTCTTGGGACTGGAAGTCCAAGATCAGTGTGTGCACTTTGGTTTCTACCGAAGCCTCTCTCCTCCGTTGACAGATGCCTACATCCTTACTGTGTCCTTGCATGGTCTTTGTGCACTTGTTCTAAGGACAACAGCCTTACTGGGTTAGGGCCCCACTCTATCACCAAACGAGGTCACACTGTGGGTTCTGGCTTCAACATAGGAATTTGGAACAATTCAGTCCATAACAGCCTCCTTGGACCCCCAAAATTCATGTTCTTCTCACATCCACAGCATGTTCTTAACAGCTCCCAAAGTGTTGACCCATTCCAGCATTGACTGTGTCCAAAATCTCATGTAAATCAAGTGTGCGTGAGGCTAGGGGTGTGTTTCATCCTGAGGCAAACCAGACAAGTTACCAAAGATGTAGAATTTGCATTCCCTTTCCACAAGGGGAAACAAGAGAAGATTGATGAGTCCCAAGCACATCTGTGACCTAGCAAGCAAATTCTATTAGGTTTTAAAGGCTTGAGAATAATGTCTGGTAGGATGCTTTGCCCTCTGGTCCTGCTGAGGTGGCAGCAGCAGACTGACAGCAGTATGCAACCCCCTGAGACCATGGAGGCATTCACCCTCCAGGCCCACCACGGGAATGTCAGACCAACTGATCTGTTTCACTGTCAGGGTCACTGTTTCCTCCTCTTGGTGGTAGCACCACAGAAGTCTGACAGCCGGCCTTTGCTGTGTCCCGTCTGTACCATCCTTAGTACAGCCTCGTAGTTACCACTGAGCATCAACTGGTTCCAAACTAATCTCTTTATCAAATGACTGTCCAACAACACCACTGGTATTCTCTCTAGAACAGGCTTTCTCATTTTCACAATATGGATAGGCTAAGAATTCTCAAAATCTTCAAGTTCTGGCTCCTTTTTGCTAAATAGTTCCTTCAATTTACCTCCCTCCTCACATATTTCTAGGAGGAGCAACAAAACAGGTATACCTTTCAACACCTTGCTTAGAAATCTCCTCAGCTAAGAATTCGTCACTTCTGTCACCTAAGATTTTGATCCTCCACTAAACACTGGAACACAACCCAGCCACATTCTTTGCTGCTTTATAATCAGGATTGCCTTTCCTTTAGTTTCCAGTAACGTTCCACATTTCTGTCTGAGGCCACAGCAGAATCACTTCTAATTTCCCTTTTCCTACCATAGTCTCCTTGAGGCAACCCCAGCTTTCTCCAGCAAGCACCTCTAAACTCGTCCACCCTCTACCCACCACCCAGTTCCAAAACCACCTCCATGGTTTTTCATATTTATAGTAGCACACCACTCAGTACCAAAACTGTATATTCTTTTACCAGGGCTGCCATAACAAAACCAGAGACTGGAAGTCCAAGATCGCCCTGACCTACTGAACTTTGCCTGCTGGCTGGCAGGTGGTACCTTCTCCTCACGTGGCCATTCCCCTACACATGTGCCAGAGAGCAAGTGAACTCTGGTGTCCCTTACTCTTGTAAGATCCAGGCTCCACCCTTACAACATAATTTAACTTTCAATATTTCCTTAGGTCCTGGACCAAATACTGTCACATTAGGAAAGGGCTTCATCATGGACTTTTTTGGGGGGAAATTTAGTTCATAACACTGCCCTCTGGACTCCCCGAATTCCTACCTGGCCCTCAACTCCTGCCATAAAGGGTCCTGATCTTTTCTTTCCCAGGAGTGTGAAGCCAGCAGGAAGCACTGGGCGGTGCTGCACTTTCCTGAAGTGGAATGCAGGAAGCATGCTGGTCCTCTCAGTGGCCAGGGGTGTGTGTGTGTTGTGTGTGTTTGGGGGGGGGGTGTTGGACACACCTGCTTTCTAAGCCCTCCTCCACACCCAGGTCTGTTTAATAAACTGCTTCCTTACAAAGCTGAACCTGATCATATACCTCATTCCTTCAGCTGTCAAGAACCCCATGGTCCTGAACCTCAGGAGACATGGAGGGTCACTGTCTATTTGTTCTTAACTGTGGCCCTGAGTGTGGGGAGGGCCCTCATCATCACCCTTTCTTAGGTCCTCCAACAATGCCAGTAGGGGCATCTTCTTGTACTCCCAGCCCTGCATCCTGTTAGCCACGCCCATGTACCAGTGATCCAGCCTGAGGACTTGGGGCCTTTCTTCCATGACCCTCCCTAATCCTCCACAGAGGAGCTAGAGCACCTGTCTTTATACCCAGTCCAAAGTACTGTCCCTTTAGCCTGCCTCTCACTCTTGGATCCCCAGAGCCTCACAAGTGTCCAGCCCAGGATAGGCCTTGTCCTTTTCCCCAGGCCCAGAGGTTTTTCCTGGCTTAAAATCCAGAGGCAATAAAAGATTAATACACACACACAAAAAAAAACCCCCAAAATTTTACATGTCAAAAATATCAAAAGTAATACCAAAAGACAAATTTCCTTCCTTCTGGAAGGAAAATCTAACATATTTCACAAATAAAGGGTTAATATCCCCATTTTACAAGAACTTTCAAAAATCAAAAGACCAGAAATGCCACAGAAAGTGGGCAAGAGACATGATCAGGAGTAAGTATACAAATAAGTGCAGTGCAGTCTGCTGCTTACAGGAGAATGCCAATGGCCAACTGGTAACTACATTTTTTTTCCTCCTACTAATATCTCATATCACAGTGTTTTTATCAAAGCTATGAAATTAACTTTAGGACAGCACTATTGGGAACTATTCAGATTTTCCATTATTGTCGTTTTTGTGATCTAGGATCCAGTCTAGGATCCCATATTGCATTTATTCTCATGTCTCTTTAGTCTCCTCCAATCTATGACAGTTCCTCTGTCATCCATGACCTGGATACTTAAAGAGAGCTGGTCAAATATTTTATAGAACCTCACAGTTTGGAATTGTGTGATATTTTCTCATTACTAGATTTGCATTATAGATTTTCTAGAATACCACAGAAGTGAAATATCCTTACTATATCATATTAAAGGGTACATGATACCAACAAGATTTATTCATGGTGATGTAACCCTGGTCACTTTGTAAAAGTGGTGGCTACCAGGACTCTCCACTATAAACTTGCCATTTCTCTTTCCATACCCCATTAGTTGGAAGTAATCTGTAAGTCCAGTCCATACTCCAAGACAAGGGAATTAAGTTCTATCTCCTGGAGAACGCACCTTGTAATTAGTGCTTCTTACATCCCCCACCCCACAGAACAAAGTGGCCCAGTGTTTTATGGCTGCCAAACTACCAAAAGACAGCCCAGGTAGGTCCATTCCTCCCTGGATGGAACAGAAGTCCTACTGACAACACCAGGTGAGCCCAGGAGCACCAGCAGGTGGGAATGATTAAGGGAAATGCTTTCTTATCTCACAGGGTTGAGACTCCCCTCCCCAACCTAGACCCAACATAGCCAGGGAGGGTCGGTCCTGCCACAGAAACACCTGTTCCAGGAAGTACTCTCTCTCTAGAGACCTGAGATTCCCCATCTAAGCAAGACACTTAGCTGGGTGGCACCAGCAAGGACATCCCTGCTAAACTGCCCAGCCCAAGAAGAGATCCATCTCCCTTACTGGCAGACAACAGGTTGCCAGGAGGCACTGGAAATGGGGATCCTGACACATTAACAGCTCAACCTGTGAAGCTTTTGCTTCCCTTTTGGGCCAGAGCATCCCTTCCCCTATCTAGAGACACCAAGCAGCCTGTTTTTGGAGAACTCCTTCCACACTCCCAACACCAGCCGGAAAAAGTGGAAGGAACGGTGGTACCAAATAAGCCAAGTAGACCTAAACAGCATTGCAAGAGTTCTGAAAACTATACTGTCATTGGATCATAGGCTGCGATCTGGGAGCTAACCTAAAAGCAGGGTGACTGCCTGCTAAAATCAAAGGTTTAAATATGACCCAGAGTCTCTTAACAGCTAAATGTGCAGGATGCAATAGAAAGTTACTCATCATACCAAAAACCAGGAAATCACAACTTAAATGAGAAAAGACAATCAACTCACACCAACACTGAGATAAGTTTGATGCTGGAACTATTTGACAGGGATATTAAAGCAGCCATCATAAAAATGCTTTGAGCAATCACAATTTCTCTTGAAACAAATGAAAAAATACAAGATCTCAAGAACAAAAAACAAAAACAAGTTACACCAAAGTTCAACTGAAAATTATAGAATTAAAAAATAGAGAATTTAAAAGCTCATTGGATGGGCTTAATGGTAGAGTTGATATGACAGAAAATGTAATTGTAGAATTTGAGGGCAGATTAATAGAATTTAGCAAATCTGAACAATGGAGAAGAAAGACTGAAAAAAAAATCTTTGCGACAAGAACAAAAAAAGCTAACGTTTGTGTCGAGTCCCAGAAAATGAGAAAGGAAGTAGGATTGAGAAAATACTTGAAGAAATATTTTGAAGAAATGACCAGAAACATCCCATATTTGGCAAGAAACATAAATGTGCAGATTCAAGAAGCCAAGTGAACACCAAATAACATAAATCAGAAGAAGTCCATACTAAGACATCATAATTAAAATTCTGAAATCTAAAAACAAAACAAAACAAAAAAACCTTGAAAGCAACCCCAGAGAAATGTCTCATTACCCATAGGGGGACACCAATTCAAATGACAGGAGATTTCTCATGAAATCATGGCGGTCACAAGGACGTAGCATAACATTTTTCTTCCAAGTGCTGAAAGAAGACTGTTAACTGCAGACTGAATATCTGCCAAAACCATCCTTCAAAAATGAAGGCAAAATTAACAAACACATTCCCAGATGAAAGAAAACTAAGAATTTGTTGCTAGCAGACCTGACCTTAAAAAACGGCTAAAAGAAAGTTCTTCAAACAGAGAAAATAATAAATACTGGAGCATCAGGAAGAAAGAAAATACCATGAAAAGAGCACAAATATGACTACATAAAACAGGCCCTCCTTCTACCCACGTTTTTAAAATTACATGTGATGATTGAAGCAAAAGTTATACTATCACCTCATACTCTAGACAACAACGTTTAAAAGTGGGAAAAAGGCCCTAAACAAAAATAACATTTTCACACTTCACTCCAAATGGTAATATACTGAGAGACTGTGATAAGGACTTATGTGTATTGTAATACCCAGAGCAACCACTAAGAAAACTATACAAAGAGATACACTAAAATACATGAAGAATGAATCCAAATGGAATCTTACCAAATAACCCACAGAAAAGAGAAACAGAAAAATGAGACCTAGAGGAAACAAATTTAAATTCAGTAATAAAATGGCCAACTTAAGCCCTAACACATCAGTAATTAATTACCTTAAGACTGGTTCTAATTACACCGATCAGAAGACAAAGATTGGTGAGGGTGGATTTAAAAAAAAACTCCCCAACTATACACTGTTTATTAAGTTCAGTGACATAGATAGATTGAAAGTAAAAAGGGTGGGAAAATATACACCATGCAATCAATTTTAAAAAGCATAAGTTCCCATATTAATATCAAATACAATAGACGTCACAGCAAAGAAACTGACCAGAGACAAAGAGGGGTGTTATATAATATAGGAATCAATGCACCAGGATGGTATAACAATTCTGTGAATGAACCAAATAACAAATATGCATGAAGCAAAAACTGATAGAGCTGAAACAGATTTTGAGAAAATTCGTCATTATTGTTGAGTTCTCAGCAACTGAGAACTACAGAACAAAAATCAACAAGGATGTAGTAGAGCTGAACACCATAATCAAGCACCAGGATCTGACATATATATCACTCCATCCAAAAACAACAGAATATGTTTGTTTTTCAAACACCAGTGGAGTATTCACCAAGACAGTCCATATTCTGGTCCATAAAACACACCTCAACAAATTTGAAGGAATTAAAATAATAAAGAGTATATTCTTTACAGTTGAATCAAACTAGACATAAGTAACAACAGGAAAATTTACAAAGACTCTGAAATTTGACAACATCATACTAAACCATGGGTCAAACAGGAAGTTGTTTCAAAGGAAATAAAAAATATATTGCACTGAATAAAAATGAAATACATCTCAATCTGTGGGATGCAGCTAACACCATGAGGAGGAAATATAGCAGTAAATACATCATACATACAAAAATGTTTCAAACCAGTAACAAATTTATACCTAAAGAAACTTCAGAAGTAGAACAAACCCAAAGGAAGCAAATGGATAGAGATAATAAAGAGCAAAGATCAATGTAGTTCATACAGAAAAATAGATAAATCAAAGGAATAAAATGCTGTTTCTCTAAAAAGTAAAATAAACTTGACTAACCTCTTGTAAGAATGACAAAAATTAGAGCAAAAACACAAATTATCTGGGACGCCTGGGTGGCTCAGTCGGTTAAGCGTCTGCCTTCAGCTCAGGTCATGATCCCAGGGTCCTGGGATCGAGTCCCACATCAGGCTCCCTGCTCCGCAGGGAGCCTACTTCTCCCTCTGCCTCTGCCTCTCTCTATCTCTCATGAATAAATAAAATCTTTAAAAAAAAAACAAAAAAATTATCAAAATCAGGAATGAAATGGGATATCACTACAGATCTGGTAGCCATCAAAAGGGTTAAGGGAGTGCTATGAACAATTTTACTACTGTCATGAATTCTGTATCTTTGAAGAAGTCGACCAATTCCTCAAAAACCACATCCCAAAACTCTAGATTAGAGTGTTTACATAACCACTAAGAAAACTGAATTCATAATATAATTCTTTTTATACATGGTTGGGTTCTATTTGCTAATTTTGAGAATTTTTGTGTGCATCTTCATGAGAGATACTGGTCTGTAGTTTTATACTCTTACATTTTCTTTGTCTGCTTTTGCTATTAGGTTAGTATTGGCCTCATAAAATAAGTTAGGAAATGTTCCTTCCTCTTTTCTGGAAGAGACTATATAACCCTG